ACCCCTCCCTCCTCCCCTCACCCTCCCTCCACCCCCTCCCTCCCTCCACCCCTCCACCCTCCCTCCACCCCTCCCACCTCCCCCCTCCACCCCTCACCCCCTCCCCACCCTCCCCCCTCCTCCCCCCCCCACCCCTCCCTCCACCCCCTCACCCCTCCCCTCCCACCCCTCACCCCTCCCTCCCCCCCCTCCCCCTCCCCTCCACCCTCCCCCACCCTCCCCCCTCCCCCCTCCCTCCCTCCCCTCCCTCCCTCCCACTCCCTCACCCTCCCCTCCCCCCCCTCCCCCTCCCTCCCACCCCTCACTCCCTCCCACCCCTCACCCTCCCCTCACCTCACCCCTCCCCCTCCCACCCCCCACCCTCCCTCCCCCCTACCTCCCTCCCATTCCCTCCCACCCCTCCCTCCCCCCCCTCCCCTCCCTCCCCCCTCCCACCCCTCCCCTCCCCCTCACCCCCTCCCTCCCCTCCCACCTCCCTCCCCTCCCCTCACCCCTCCCTCCCACCCCCTCACCTCCTCCACCCCTCACCCTCCCTCCCACCCCCCTCACCCCTCCCCTCCCCCCCTCTCCCCCTCACCCCTCCCTCCCACCCCTCCCACCCCTCCCTCCCACCCCTCACCTCCCTCCACCTCACCCTCCCCTCCACCCCTCACCTCCTCACCCCTCACCTCCTCCACCCCACCTCCCTCCACCCCCCTCACCCTCCTCCACCCCTCACCTCCACCCCCTCCCTCCCTCCCTCCCTCACCCCTCCCTCCCACCCCCTCACCCTCCCTCCACTCCCTCACCCTCCTCCTCCCCTCACCCTCCCTCCACCCCTCACCCTCCCTCCCACCCCTCCACCCTCCTCCCACCCCCTCACCCTCCCTCCCTCACCTCCCTCCACCCCCTCCCCACCTCCCTCCCACCCCTCACCCCTCCCCTCCCCCCTCACCCCTCCCTCCCACCCCTCACCCCTCCCTCCCCCCCTCACCCCTCCCCTCCCCCCTCCCTCCCTCACCCCTCACCCTCCCTCCCCCCCACCTCCCTCCCACCCCCTCCCCTCCTCACCCCCTCCCCCTCCCTCCCCCCTCCCTCCCTCCCACCCCCTCACCCCCTCCCTCCCCTCCCCCCTCCCTCCACCCCTCACCTCCCTCCCTCCCTCACCCCTCCCTCCCCTCCCCTCCTCCCCACCCCTCACCCCTCCCCCTCCCACCCCCTCACCCCCTCCCTCCCCACCCCTCACCCTCCCTCCCACCCCTCCCCACCTCCCCTCCCTCCCCTCACCCTCCCTCCCACCCCTACCTCCTCCACCCCTCACCTCCTCCACCCCCCTCACCCCTCCTCCACCCCCTCACCCTCCCTCCACTCCCCTCCCCTCCACCCCTCACCTCCCCTCCCACCCCCTCACCTCCCTCCCACCCCCTCACCTCCTCCCTCCCCTCCACCCCTCCCTCCCTTCCTCACCCCTCCCCTCACCCCTCACCCTCCCTCCACCCCCTCCCCTCCTCCACCCCCTCACCTCCCCTCCACCCCCTCACCCCTCCTCCACCCCTCCCACCCCCTCCTCCTCACCCTCCCCTCCCCCCCTCCACCCCCTCCCCTCCCTCCCCTCCCACCTCCCCTCCCTCCCTCCCCACCCTCCCTCCACCCCCCTCACCCCTCCCTCCCCACCCCCCTCACCCCCTCCCTCCACCCCCTCCCCACCCCTCCCTCCCACCCCCCTCCTCCTCCCTCCCCCTCCCACCCCTCCTCCACCCCCTCACCTCCCCTCCCACCCCTCCCCACCTCCCTCCCACCCCCTACCCCTCCCTCCACCCCCCTCCCACCCCTCCTCCCACCCCCTCCCACCCCCTCCCTCCCCTCACCTCCCCTCCCACCCCCTCACCCTCTCCCACCCCCTCCACCCCTCCCCTCCCACCCCCTCACCCTCCCCTCCCACTCCCCTCCCCCTCCCCTCCCCTCCCCTCACCCTCCCTCCTCCCTCACCCTCCTCCTCTCCTCACCCTCCCTCCCACCCCCCTCACCTCCTCCACCCCTCACCTCCCTCCCCCTCACCCCTCCCTCCCCACCCCCTCACCCTCCCTCCCACCCCCTCACCCTCCCCTCCACCCCCCTCCCCTCCCCTCCCACCCCTCACCCCTCCCTCCACCCCCTCCACCCCTCCCCTCCACCCCCTCACCCTCCCTCCCACCCCCTCCCCCTCCCTCCCTCCCCTCACCTCCTCCACCCCCCCTCACCCCTCCCTCCCACCCCTCACCCCTCCCTCCCCACCCCCTCACCCCTCCCTCCACCCCCTCACCCTCCTCCCCACCCCCTCACCTCCCTCCCACCCCCTCACCCCTCCCTCCCACCCCCTCTTCCCCTCCCTCCCTCACCCCTCCCTCCCTCCCCTCACCCCTCCCCTCCCACCCCTCACCTCCCTCCACCCCTCCCCCCCTCCCCCACCCCCCACCCTCCCTCCCACCCCCTCACCCTCCTCCCACCCCCTCCCCCCCTCCCCTCCCACCCCTCCCTCCCACCCCCTCACCCCTCCCCTCCCTCCCCTCTCCCTCCCACCCCCTCCCCTTTCCCTCTCCTCCCTCACCCCTCCCTCCTCCTCACCCTCCCTCCACCCTCACCTCCCTCCACCCCCCCTCACCCTCCCCTCCCACTCCCTCACCTCCCTCCCACCCCTCACCTCCCTCCACCCCCCTCCCCCTCCCTCCCTCCCCTCCACCTCCTCCACCCTCACCTCCCTCCACCTCACCCTCCCACCCCCACCCCTCCCTCCCACCCCTCACCCCTCCTCCCACCCCTACCCTCCCTCCCACTCCCCTCACCCCTCCCTCCCTCCCTCACCCCTCCTCCACCCCTCACCCCTCCCTCCCCTCCCCTCCACCTCCCTCCCACCCCCTCACCCTCCTCCCACCCCCCTCACCCTCCCTCCCTCCCCTCACCCCTCCCTCCCCTCCCCTCACCCTCCCCTCCCACCCCTCACCCCTCCCCTCCACCCCCACCCTCCCCTCCCACCCCCCCTCCCCCTCCCTCCCTCCCCTCCACCCCTCCCTCCCCACCCCCCCACCTCCCCTCCACCCCCTCCCTCCCTCCCCACCCCTCACCCCTCCCCTCCCACCCCCTCCCCCCCTCCCCTCCCTCCCCTCCCTCCCTCCCTCCCCTCACCCCTCCCTCCACCCCCTCACCTCCCTCCCCCCCTCACCCCTCCCTCCCCACCCCCCTCCCTCCCTCCACTCCCTCACCCTCCCTCCCTCCCCTCCCACCTCCCTCCCACCCCTCTTCCTCCTCCACCTCACCCTCCTCCACCCCCTCACCCCCTCACCCCCTCTACCCCTCCCTCCACTCCCTCACCTCCCTCCACCCCTCACCCTCCCTCCCTCCCTCCCCACCCTCCCTCCCTCCCTACCCCTCCCTCCACCCACCTCCCTCCCTCCCTCACCCCTCCCTCCCCCCTCACCCCTCCCTCCCCCCTCCCTCCACCCCTCACCTCCCTCCCACCCCTCCTCCCCCACCTCCCTCCCACCCCCCCTCACCTCCCTCCCACCCCCTCACCTCCCTCCACCCCTCACCCCTCCCTCCACTCCCCTCCCCCTCCTCCTCCCCTCACCCTCCCTCCCCCTCACCCTCCCTCCACCCCTCACCTCTCCACCCCTCACCCTCCCCTCCCACCCCCTCACCCTCCCCCTCCCACCCCTCACACCCTCCCTCCCTCCCCTCCCCACCCTCCCTCCACCCCCTCACCCTCCCTCCACCCCTCACCCCTCTCCCCACCCCCTCACCCCTCCCCTCCACCCAGCTTACTGCTCCTAGGGCGTAGTAACTCAAAACATCCCATAATAAGGGACTGGCACCTTCACAATATGTCCATCGTACAAACGCGACTCTTGCTGACTAAAACACCAAAGTCAATCATGCAAAGCTCACTGTACTTACCTCAACACGATGGTCCACACCTGTAAGCTGTAAGTCTTTTAAATTTAGTCTCGGCAACCTGCAAATTGTCGCTAATCGTTATTCATTTTTAAGGTAAATTCTGAATTTTCCCCCCAAAGAAATATATCGTCATAATGCAAGCAAAACAAAAAGAAGATTCCTAATCATTAAAGGATGCAAATGGCCCTCCCTAATTCACTGTAAAAACTCGTGAGTAATTTTACAATGTTGCAAGAAAAACAAAACCAACAAATCTCTGCATATATTTTCCTAACTACCATACTCATTAATTAGATAAGAACAGAACGTTACGAGGTTACAGAGAAGACACTTAGGCTGGTAATAACTCTCTCCCAAGTCCTACTCAGAATTATTGTTTGACTATTTTCCTATTAGGGTCTATATCCTTACTACACCTGCCTACATAATTAAACTTAAGCACAAAAATCATCAAAATAACACCGATATTCTACCTTAATTAGACACTTCTAATAATTATCAGCGAAGAGGCATACAAAAAGGAACGGTTTATACAAAAAAAATATATATAAATTATAATACATTTTGACTACGTAATAAGTGGTAATTCGTGTTAAGTGAACGTATCTAGTTAAGGTAGAATCTGAATGTAATTCTTCTTACCGTTCAGCCAAAGTGAGGTATATTCTTACACCTTATGTTACGAGGGTTTATCACGAGTTCTGCAGCTGACCCCGACGAAGCCAAGGAGGACTGCAGCAGCACTTTGTCACACGCACGTCCCGTATTTTCTAAACAAAATTCGTCTAAAGTATTTTGTTTTTACCCAATGACCATGACGTATTATTAGAAAAATCTCACGAACCTCCAAACCATTTTAATAATAATTCAAAACAAAACAAACAAATAAAAAATCTTGTGTAATTTTTTGTAGGTTATGGTGCTGTGTTGTGTTGTATTACAGAAAATAAATAAATGAAGTAATAAAAAAGCGAGTTAGAAATCCTATTTGTGGTACTTTTACATCATGGAATATTTACCTCTGTGTAAGTGGTAAAGGTATGCGTATCGTTCATGTTTACTCTGGTGTGTGTGGCAACCAACCATCACCTCCCCTCACTCCCGTCCCCCTCTGACTGACTGACGACCCGCTATGGTGCCGGAGTCTCTCCTCTCCTCAGTCAATATCCTAACACTGTGGGCTGAGGGTGTTGCCTTTTCCCGCTTTCCTCATGTGAGAACCTTGTTAAGTGAAAAAGCTGTCAAGATAAACTGTCCGGCATGTTTCGCAGACCAGTCAGTTTGAGTTGACACCACCTACAGTAACTGTATTTGTGTGGTGAAATATCCCCATTGCCGTAAAGGTAAGCTGTGGCAAAAATAAGTATCATAATCTCCGACAACATAATAACTTAGTCACTAATATCATAGTGATGTCTGTTATGAATTGGGTAATATGCTGTAGAAAAGTGTTCAAGTAATACTTTGTACTACACTGTTTTATTATCGGACTGAATGTGTTAGTTGTACCGCGTATAATATGACAAAAAAATGTTTATCAACTTCTTGGTAAGAATATTTAATCAAATTGTGCTGGTGCTGTGGGGCGGGCGGTGGTGGGGTGTTGGTGACAGTGTTGTGTTAGTCGTCGTTGTGTCCATCGGTGTGTATTATGTAATAATAATAATAATTAACGGTGTATTAAGATAACATGGCAGCCCGAAGGCTGAAAATATACAATGAACAGAGGTGATAAGTTACATATAGTGAAACAGAGGAGTGGGTCACTTGGTTGACAAAAGCTTTCAATACAGAAAGATATAAGAAACATAGAGTCAACATATAGATTAACTGTAGATCTGGTACTGTGGGAGCTGGTCTGTAGACATTCTTGTGACCTGATGCTGGTGCCTGGTACTGTGGGAGCTGGTCTGTAGACATTCTTGTGACCTGATGCTGGCGCCTGGTACTGTGGGAGCTGGTCTGTAGACATTCTTGTGACCTGATGCTGGCGCCTGGTACTGTGGGAGCTGGTCTGTAGACATTCTTGTGACCTGATGCTGGCGCCTGGTACTGTGGGAGCTGGTCTGTAGACATTCTTGTGACCTGATGCTGGCGCCTGGTACTGTGGGAGCTGGTCTGTAGACATTCTTGTGATCTGATGCTGGCGCCAAGCCTGGCTGTTAAGCCGCTACCTCACTACAGCTGCAGGTGTACCACGTGGTCCGGGTAGGTCCTCCAGCTCACACAGGGTGTTGGAGAAGGCCATGGCCTCCAGTTTGAGAAACACTGGGCTATATCTTCTTCTGGAAGGTTAAGCCTACTGCAAAGAGAAACCGCATTTATGGAGTTGGCTTTGCCATTCGCTAATTCATCCTACATAGGCTAACTGAAATGCCTGTTGGGATCAAGGAATGCCTCATGAAGCTCCAAGTCCCACTGAATCACTCACGTCATGCCTTCTCCATCAGTGCATACGCCCCAACACTGGATGCAGAGGATGACATGAATTTGGCCTTTTATGCCGATCTCCACAGAGTGGTAACCTCTATCCCCAGAGAAGATAAGGTTGGGCTCCTTGGTGAATCCAATGCTAGTGTTAGCAGAGATGCTGACATACAGTATTTCAGGGAACCATAGGGTGAAACGGAGTAGGCACGTGTAATCCCAACGGCCTACTCCTCCTCAACAAGTGTGCTGATCACAACCTCACTATCACCAATACCTTGTTTAGGCAGGCCGAAAAGTTCAAGGGTTCGTGGCAACACTCCTGATCTAAACATTGGCATCTCATTGATTTATCAACCGAGCCATGCATGGCTCAGACCACTGCGACACATATCACCGGTTCATCAGAGCCAAACTCTCCTTTCACGTCGCCCCAAAACGGCGAAAGGCAACAAGCCTCCTAACACCAAGTGACTGGAGGATTCAGTGGTAGCACATGCTTTCAGAGAGCAGCTCAATGAGGGGCTAAAAAGCAACCCAACCAAAATCCCAGTGCCGAATGGGGTCCTGTCAAAGCTGTCATCAGAAAAACCTGCAAGGAGACACTTGGCCAGATCAAAAGAAAACACCAAGATTAGCTTGATGAGAACGACCCGGAATTCAAAGTACTTATCAATAGAAAACGTGCTGCTCTCTCTGACTGGCAGATCAACCTTAAGTCTTGGACCAAAGCTGATACTTTCCAATGTGGCGGGTCAGCGTGAACTTCGCAAACTAATGAACGACTGGTGGAAAAATATTGCGTGTGAAATGCAAAAATTTGTGTATCAACACAAGAAATGTGAATTTTTCAATTCACTAAAACAATATTAGGTCCAACTATTCATAGCGTGGCCCCCTCCCCTCATCCGACAATGCTGGAAAGAGCACCACCCTTCGCTACTCAACTGAAACACCAATGTGGATGTCCTGAATACACCAGCAAGTTCCTCAACACCCAAAGTTGGCCCACCTCAGCTATCCCCCTTCCCTGGATAATGTAGCTACTGTTATTAAGCAGATTGATTAACAAAGCCTCAGGGCCTGATGGAATCCCAGCCGAGGAGTATAAAGCAGGTTGTCCTCTGCTTACCAGCCGTCTCCACTCTCTCCTGGAGAATATATGGGAAAAGGAGGAAATCCCCAAGCTCTTAAAAATGCCTCTATCGTCAATATTTATAAGAACAAGGGAGACCGGTCAGATTGTGACAACTACTGAGGGATCTCACTGCTGGCAAGATTGTCGCCCGAGTCCTCCTAAACAGACAGTTTCATGAGGCAGAAAACTTTCCCCCAGAATCTCAATGTGGCTTTAGACCATCACGTGGCACCACTGTCATGATCTTTGCTGCCCGCCAGATACAGGAAAAGTGCAGAGAACAGCGTCGTGACGCGTACATGGCCTTCATTGACCTTACTAAGGCCTTTGACTCGGTCAACAGGGAAGCCTTCTGGCAGACCCCAAGTCATTTTGTTGTCTACCAAAATTAATTTCCAATGTGAGGCAACTCTAGGATGGCACGAATGGCAGTGTCCTACACAATGGCATCCAGTCTGAATTCTTCGTCATCCAAACAGGGGTAAAACAAGGATGTGTACTGGCACTAACTCTCTTTTCCATTTTCTTGGCTGTCTTCTTTACTCATCCAGTACAGGATGAAGGGACTTTTCAATATAACACGACTCCAGCCAGGAGCAAAGGTGTCAGCTGCTTCCATTACTGAACTTCAGTATGCAGACGACCTCACCCTCATCGCTCAACTGAACGCGGCCTACAGGAGATCCTGAACACCTACACAGATGTGTATGTACACTTCGGCCTTAAGGTGAATGCATGTAAGACTCAGGTTCTCTTTCAGCCTGCCCCTGTTCAGCCACACCTTCACCATCCATCCATCTTAATGGTACTACTACTGCCTTTGGCAGACTCCGTAACAGTGTCTTCAGCTGTAGATAGCTGAAATTATCTACAAAGTTGCAAGTGTAACGAGCAGTGGTCCTCCCCTCCCTATGGTATGGCAGTGAGACGTGGGTCACATACAGGAGGAACCTCGAGACACTTGAAAGCTTTCACCAACGTAGTCTATATTCCATCCTCCGAGTTCACTGGGAAGACAAGAGAACAAATGTCAGTATTCTCATTGAAACCAACTGTAGGAGCATCGAGGCTACCATCTCCATGAACAACTAAATTGGACTGGCTATGTTACCCGCATGGACGACAATGGACTGCCTGACGAAAGGAAAATGTAATGTTGGCGGACAACGGAAAAGTTATAATAGTTTTAAGACAAACCTGAAAAAGTGCCAAATCTACCCTTCACCTGAGAGATGGTCACTCAACACCATAATGTCTAGAGGAGCACCACACGAGAAGGTGTCAGTACCTTCGATTTAGCTTGACTGCATACAGAGTCAGACAAGCGCCAGCGCCGGAAAGACTCTGCATGCCGCCACCCCTCTTGTACTAGATGCAGCCCTCCACACGTGCAACATATGTGGACCACCCTGCCGATCACATATCTGCCTCTAGTCACCCCAGAGGTCACCAATGAAGGTGACATCCTTAGTTACTCATATCATTGTCTTATAGCTGGGTGATCGTCATACTCGACAGCAAAGTAGTAGTACTAGTGTATCCCTCGGTCTCGTGCCTTTAGGAAAAGTTGTGGGCGGCCCTTCTGATCTCTTTCTTCCTTTGTTTCCATAGACTTTGTGGTGAAAAGTATCACGATATGTGTACACTCGGTCAAAAAATGTTTCAAATTTTGTACGAAACAGAATAACACCACGAATGAAGGTTTTGATAAAGGCACACGAGGCACACCGTACATTGGTAGCCCTGCGTGTGGAGTGTTCAGCTCGAAATTCATCGGAGCTCTCCTGAAAGATGTATTTTTTTTTAATATGAAGTTGATCATAATTTCATGTTCCTAGCTATTCGGAGGAGCTAATAAAGTAAGAGTTTAAATGTGCCTCTTGAAATGGCTAGGATGATAGAACACGTATTTAGTGGGAGGTGAAATTTATATCTTCTAAACTACGATTTGCTTAATTACCGAATCTAATAAAAATATACTTCGTAATGAAATAATAAGTTTACCAAATGTAAACAAATATAATATATAGTTTAGGAGATAAATCAAATTTAGGCCTGGCATTTCCCTTCGAATTCACGGCGTGGGTTCTCGAGGGGATAGCGTCACCGGAGCACTGAGCTAGACCTGCACGGCTGCATCACCGTTGATAAAGGGTGGAAAAAATTCAACTCCCAGAGAGGAGAAATCACGATAAACCAACGGGAGAAAGACAGACGGCCGACTTCCTAACTATTGGATGTTCTAGTAACTTCTATTAACAATTATGATCATTTAAGTTATATTATTTGTGTATATTTTTACAAGTAGTTGCGTGGTTACCTACTGCAGTGTGTGTTGATACGCGTTTCCGATTGGGTCGTTAGGTTTAGCGTTAGTTTTTTTAAATGTTTCTGAATGTAAAGTATATTGATATATAAGATGATAATGTATTTGATGTTATTGTTACTGATATCGTTGTTTTATGATGTTTTTTTTATTATGTAATGTAGTAACTAGTAAGACAAAAAAGGTGTTAAAAATAGTTAAGCCTAATGTATAGGACGATCTAATTTAAGTTCCACACTAAATAGTGGTAGGCTTGGGAAGTTGGGATCCCTCAGTCGGACTGCCGCCTGCTGGTGAGCCAGGCAGGCTGACGCTGTACCGAGGACCACAGACACAGCCTTACAGTATATCAGGGTTTGTATATCAGTACTGCTCTGGTGATTTTGTTAGGTTATCATTGGTTGTGTAATTGTGTTATATTTGTGTGCTGAGAGTTTAAGGATTAGATTATT